AGTATCACAGAATAACATTACAGTTACCTGGAAAGTCAGGCATTTAGATGCTCCAGATCAAGTGCCCATCAAGGTCTATTTTTTTATAACTTCCATAGGTTTGTTGTGTCCCAAATGACACACTATACTACAAACTAGGTACTCTAATGACTAGAATACGAACTTTATAAGGTCATGTTTTCATCCAACACTAGAGTCTAATAGCCTGTCCCCATGCGTTACATAAAGAAAAGCGGCAACAGTTGAGTGCATGAAATGTTCAACATTCCACACTTCATTTTTTTGGTTAAGTACATCATCCAGGTATTTGAAATGCACTTTTTCTTTTTGGAATTTCCAGTGTTAACATGCTACAGTGAACATTTATTTTTCAAATAAAACAATAATTATTGGGATGCATTTTACAAGAAAATACTGTTTCAGTCTTTCTACTTTAAAATGTCATGTTAAACTAAGTGTGTTACTTGTCATTTCTTTAATTGTAAAATTGAGCTACTAGCAATTTCTGAGTGAAAATTGTTTTAAAGTATTTTTTAGTGTACTCACTCTATTTATACTATAAAATAGCATTAAACAGTGCATAAGTATGTGAACTCACCTATTGTTTAGATGCCATAAGCATTTTGCGCTGGGAAAAGCTCTAAGAATATAGAAGTGAAAATACGGTCAACCAAGAACCATATTGGCAATAAAGCACAAGCCACATTGGGACAAGTCATTTAAACAAGACTAAGATGTTGAGGTCAGCCTCAAACAACAGTTCAAACACTAGTCTCCACTGGGACACAAGTGCACTTTCCCTGGTAAACAGATCACATGTCTCAGAGCCCAAAACACCTCAATGGTGACCCAGAAAAACAGGCAACTGCAAATACAGATATATTCAACATGCTATTGTGGTTCAATACAGTGTTCATTTCACAGCCTGTATCAGCAGCTGCAGAAAATCGCAAGGGGGAATCTGTATCCATGGAACGAGACAAAACAACTTGCAATTAACTACTAATGAAACTTCAGAGGGAAATTAGAGACTAATGCAAGTCATATGGGAGGCTGAGAGACGCTCACACACCCACACAGATGAGCCTCAATGAAACCCTGCAGCAGATGCAGTCAACCGAGGTTTTGTATATATAGGCTACCAAGCTGCAATCAACAGATGTTGGTTAAACTTGTCAATTAGGGTATAAAGTTCCTAACACCATCACAGTTCATGGTCAACGGTGTTAGGTTATTTTGAAACTTGGGGCGATTTTTTTGTCAATACAGGATGCCTCATCAGCACCAGTAACATGCACCGACATGTCTTTACCAACAGTCAAAACGAAACAGGAAGTCAGTCTCATATCCTCTTGGCGAGTCCCTCAAATTCAGCTGAATTTTTTTTTATTGGGTAAAGGTGCCACTTTCGGCAATCATAATTCCTGTTTCCGTGAACAATGACAGCATACATGGCCTTTACATAATAATTCTGTTATTTGTTTGATTAAAACAAGTTTAAGTGCCACAGAACGCAGCATCTCTGTGAGATATTAAAGATACAATGAAGTGCAAGATCTCTCCATGAACAAACAAAACAGTGTTTAGATTTGAATATATTTGCATGTACTCTTGCGTTGAGATTTGAATGAGTTCATGTGTTTATTCTAGCTGGTCAAACACACACACACACACACACAAAAAAAAAACAAATCTAGAAGTGGAATAGAGGCGTTAAAGGCATAGTTCACCCAAAAATTAAATTCTATCATCATTTCCTCACCCTGTTTTTTTGTCCAAACAATGAAAATCTATGACCACCAAAACTGTTTGGTTACCAACATTCTTTAAAATGTTGTCTTTTGTGTTTTGCAGAAGAAAGTAAGTCATACAGGGTTGAAACTACATGAGTAAATGATGCCAGAATTTTTATTAGTGGATGAACGATACCTTTAATTATGCGACATATCACCACTTAAATAAAACAGACAAACATAAGCCTGCTGCTCATCTTTTGTCATTTGAGGACGGTCTAAACATGAGGCTCTAAATGACAGGGGGCTTCAGTTCAGGGCCTGAGTCCAGAATAAGAGCGAGATGCGATATTCAATCTGCATTCTCAGAAGGCCTGGAGGTCTCAGTCCTTGACTTGCCAACTGCTGTTGCACAAACCCCATCTCTCTCCCTCTCTACAAAGGAAACTCTATTTTCGGCTTGCCAACCTGGAAGCTAGGAAGAACAAAACAGCCAGCTGCACCTCACTGGGGGTTGGACTGAAACAAGGCCGGCAGCAAACACACACACACAGACAAACACGGCAAGCCACATATGGATGCAGTCAGATAACCAGGAAGACTGACATTTACATAAACAGACAGTGTGACATACATTCAGCAGCTTGCATATGACGGACAGTGAAGTGAAGGCAGATTATTGATGAATCACATTTCCGTTTGGAAAGTCCAAGATTTGGTTTGCTGGTGAAATCAGTTATGTCTGTAATTTTGCCATCTTTGTGCTTTGTGGTCTTCATATCCATTAGTCAATCATGGGCAGTTATGCCTCAAACATATATACATGTGTGTGTGTGCGTGCCATAAGCTACATAACAGATTGCTGTTGCATTACATGTTTTTAAACTTATTTTACCATACTGTTCTGACAAGGTTACAAAAGCAGCATAGTCAGGAGTCAGGACATTAAAAATGCCCTCTATGTGAAACACAGCAGGGAGCTTTGAAACGCATACAATGCCATTATAATACTTTTCACTTACAAATGGACCAGTGGTTAGTTGAAGGAAAAAAAGAAAACGAGTTTATAATGTTAACAATCCAAGTACAAGCCTAGGGGATTTTTTTATGGGCTGGCAAATGAGAGCATATTTCTGAGAAATGTTTAAAGGGGTCATATGATGCTGCTAAAAAGAACATTATTTTGTGTATTCGGTGTAATGAAATGTGTTTATGCGGTTTAAAGTTAAAAAAAC